TTTAATTTTTATAGGCTACTTTTTTAAAGCTAGTCGTTGGGTCCCATTATTTGATAATCACAGTTCAATACTGTTCAGTCGTAGCCCATCAGGTTTACTCTTTCACATATGTATTTCATGCTATGTGTCAGACACCATTTTGGTCATTGAGAAATGTTTAGGACCAACTTTACTTTCACTTCAAATGAAAATTTTCCTAGAGATTACTAGTTATTCTTATTTAATTATTATCTCTTCTCTGTTTACCACTCCCAAGGATGAAGAAGTGAAGATTACAAATGATAATTTCCCCACTAAATATGCACTCTCTTAGACTAACTGTTTAAAAAACTGGGATGGAGAAACTGGTAGATCAGGAGGATCAAACCAGAGAGAAGAGCTCTCTGAACATGTAATGGCTTCTGTGGTTCAAAACACTCAAGTCTGGCTACCTTCTGGGAGAAGGTTTTAGACAGATAATAAATTGAAATGTACCTCATCTAGGGAATCTGCAAGACTGACTTTCCCCTTTCCTTTGGTTGATAAAGCCTAGAAAAGTTATCAAGAGAACTTTCTCTCAAAGGAAGCAATACTTTTTAACAGATAGACATTCAGATGTCCAAGGGAATGGGCCTTGACCTAGCTGTTGGGGCACATAATATCTGCAGACTTGGGCACCACTTCTGTTCAAAGTTTGGCCCTGTGTGAGCAACTTCTCTGGCCTTATAGCTCTGCCATTTTGGAGAGCCTTGGAGACATGACGTAAGGCACAGGAAGAAGAAGAAAAGTTAACCTGCAGTTTTTAAAATCCTTCCCTAAGATGTATACCCCAACCTTGCACAGCTATTTATTTCTAATTAACTTGTTAATAAAGAGACGTTCTCTACCTTTTAACAAAATTTGACCCAACAATCAACTGATATCCTATCTAGACTTGACTCCCGCTTCTACCCCCCCCAAAAAAGTCTGTCGAGAGCTTCCAGATATAACATTTTGCCTGGTGAACAGAAACACTTTAACCATAACTGCAGTTCTGTTGACTATTATCAGTGAAATGGAGCTCATCAAGAAAATGGTGAGCATCCATGAAAACTTTCTGCTGTATATTCATTCACGGATTCATCTAAAAGAAAATTTCAGAGCAGTGGTAGGTAAATGAAAGGCTCTAGAAATATACAGATGACTCAGGTCTCATTATCCTGGAAGTTAGACATGTCAGTGAGGATTCACATTATGGAGTTGCATGTCTAGTAGAACATTATCTAAGCTCAAAGGAATGAGAGATTTCTCTTGGAGGAACCAGGATGGCTTTGTAAGTATCACTTCCCACTGTGAGCCTAGACTGAGGAGTTGCCCCAGGAATCTGGAACTTGGAGCTTTATCCAGGGATGTGAAGTGTTTGCAGCACACAAAGACTCCTGCTTCACTACACACCCTTAGCCATGAGCCCTGGCAGGGAGTGCTGTCTGCTTGAAAGAAAGGACGACATGGAACCGGGCAACCCTAAGGTCTCTAAATTGGCTGTTCCCTCTAGGCAACTTTTGCTAATTCACATAAGGGTAAGCTGATGCCCTCTTGGAGAAGCAGTATGTTTTACAAAGAGGAATAATCCAAAAGGCTACCTTCTCCTTGGGGAGAAGCAAAATCAAAAGCCAGCAGACTCTTTACATGAATTTCCGTCTCAAAGAAAAAAAGACTCCAGATGCCAGGCACTGAAATTGAAACCAGATAGAAACACAAAGATTTGAAGTTGGGTGTAGAAAGCAGAAGGAATATATTTCCTGAATGGACCATTGACCTACAATGAATATAATGGGTATAAGTGGCCTTGTTTGTGGGTGTGATGAGAAGGGGGGACAGGTGTCAAAGAGGGGGTGAATTTGAGCTGTATGACGGAAGAAGAAAATGAGGAACAGGAATTCCAGGCATAGGGACCAACCCTGCAAAAACTCCAAAGGGTGGAAGGCCATGGAGTGGTAAGACCACATCAAGACTTCTGGAGCAGCTGTGACATAGAGTGCATGGGTGATGAGGGTCAGGAGCTCAGGAGCAAACATCGAAAGGGAAAGGAAGGCCAGCTCTCAAAGACAATGCACACACAATCACCAGGACAACAATTTCCTCTTCGAGGGAACTATTTGCGCACTTGAGTGCTTCCTTTTATTAAATAATTGGATCTGTACACCAAATTAGCTTCCCTTTTTGCTTTGGTTGTCACAAAGCTCTGGGCTCTGTTGTAGACCAACCACGGCTTGGTGCACCACATCTTATTAGTGGGATCTTGTGCTGTTACCCTTGACCTAATGTGATTGCAAGGCACCCATTGTCCTGTGTATTGAGCCACCATAAATCCCTTTAAAAAAATCGTCAAAATATGAGTGCTTCATAGAAATAATATATAATAATGTCTTCTATTTAACAAACAATCGGTAAGTGTTTCCTGAACACCTCTGATAGTTGGTTCTATCATTTGGAGAGTGAGAAGCACAAGATTAATTTCATCTTCGATTATTAGTTTGTAATCTCTTTGAGAATATAAGTCATGTGCAGATAACATAAAAAGGAGTAGTACAAGCATATGCAGGATTAATATTTTATCTGTTTTCACTGCTACAGGGGTCCTTGCAATAAAAACATTGCAATACTTCTTCTTTGGGTGATTTAAGAACTCCACTGAGATTTCCACTTGCTACTCAGACCCCTTGAAATCTCCCCTAAGGCCCCCCAACCCCTGGCACCACAATCTAGCAGCCGAGGAGCTAGTGCTGGGCACAGCAGGGACCTCTGCCCAGGGACTGGGGCAACTTGGCTCTGCTGGGGTGGGGCCCGCACCCTGGCTTATATTAAATATTTTGAACATCACCCCTGAGTTGGTATTAGGTGCTAAATAATCTGTCTTAATGAGATCATTGCTATAAATAATAATAGTTACTATTAGCCAGTCACTTACTATGTTCCAATTTAACAATTATAATTACCCATTCAGGGAGTCCTTTTTAATCCCATTTTACAAACGAGGCAACGGGTGCAGGGAGTATAAGTAACTCGAGCCACGGAGAAAGCCTCGTTAGCAGAGAAGTCAATTCTCCAACCCTGGTCAGTCAGATTCCGCATTTGGAAAAGGCTTTGTCATCCTGCATGGGATGGCCAGTGGGAGAAGCAGCAGGAAAAAGTGAAGGGGGAGGGCATTCCTGGTTGGAAGGAAGGGGGGCATCAAGGCATGTTAGGCAGGCAGATGAATCTTCACATGTTGTTCTGGATTCTTTCATTTTCAGTTAAACACCCTGTAAGTTGCATCCACTTCTTTCTTTCTTTTTTTTAGGTCACTAATATACTTCATAGTAAGTTCAGCTACCACAGAGTAAATTGGGCCTTCTTGGCCCCAAAGGGCACCATCTGGTTTATAAAACAACAGTGTATGCCCTCTGGATAGTTTTCCCTTAGGAAATTCCTCCTTATCTGCTGTCTGGTTACGAACTTAGGGATAATTTTCAGACTTTCTATTCTAATCATTTTGTACTGTGGTTGTTCGGTTTATTTTGCTTAATTTATGAAGGAAGAAAATACCTCTTGTAAAATATACACAGGTTTAGTCTAGCAGTAAAAAAACTTCCTCAGATTTCCAGGGCAGGAATAAGTCAATCCTCCACAGTTAAGGAAAGATTTGAGCAATTCAGAGAATAATTGAGAAAGGATTAATTGGAGACCCATTGTGGAAGTGAAGAGGTTTGAAACAGAAGGAAGAATCAAAGGGAAAGGAGATGCTCTTTTTGGTGATTGTTTCCTACTCTTATTTTTTCTTCTCTGGTAGTTTAAGCTTTAGGCATAATGGTAAGGCTGGGAAAACTTTGGGGGCAAGTAGGGGAGGGGGTGTCAGGGGTCTACAATTTCAAAATAAGGATTCATCCTATTGAAGGGCAGAGATGAAAAAGGTCTTCACCAGTGGCATTCAGTCCTGTGGTTTCATAAGGGTCCCTGGTGATTCTAAACACACTCCCCCACCCCATTTCCAACATCCGGGGAAATGGCCGGTCTGCGCCTTCTGGAAATGTTACTGTCCTCTATTCACTCACTACCTTTGGTGGCCACAGTTTGTTCTTTCTCACTCTGATGTGAAAAATCCCAAAACTCTCCCGTCCTCCATCTCTCATTGCCACCCACCAGGCCTTATGTCAGTCCAGAGTCCCAAACAACATCATTAGAGGGGAGGAAAAAAACCCTGTACAGATTGGCTGGCTCCCTGGCCTGGGCTGGTTCAGGCAGCTCTTGGCTTAGATACCCTGCTTTCCAAACACAATCTGTTTTCAAGATTCCTGGGCAATTTCAGGTCCAAGAGGGGGGTTTGGTCTTAAGTTCACCAAACTCCGTCTCTTCTCTGTTATACTCCTCTCAGGCGTAATGAGACCCATTTGCCCAGACTCAGTTTTCAGGCTTATGTGACTAAGCCATGTTCTTGGCGCTGGAAGGATTTCCTGCCCTCTCCTGGCTCAGTGTTGTTTTCTTTCTTTCATAACTTTGCTCTGCCAATGGGCCAAGCATGACTCCATTCGATTCTACCCTGGAGGATTTTGGAAGTGGAAAACTACAGAAGATGCTGAGTGGCCACATTTAAAAAGGACGGTGCTCTTAATAGGACATAAAGACAGAAGCTCAGAATGTGGGCCAAAACCTTACCTTTGCAGGTCCCACCAGAGCACCCAATTCTGTGTAGTGTGGATCCTGCTGCTGGCAAAGTGCCAGAAAGTGTGGCGCGGGGGGGGGGGGGGGGGCAGGAATGCAGAAAGGTTTCTGAAGCACTCTGAAACAGATTGATTATCTATATGAGAAGTGTTGCTTCACTGTGTGTGTGTATGTGTGTGTGTGTGTGTGTGTTTATCCTAAGTGAAGAACTACCTTACAGCTTACTCTCTAGTTCTAAGAGTAATAGACAATTCACTTCTTTTTCAGTGTTTTTGAATATGTTTTTAATATGTCCTTGGGTTATCCTTGGAACATCATTTCCTTGTTCTTCTGTGACACAGAGATGCCCTCAGAGGAGGTAGGAGCCCCATTTGTCCCCACTCCGAACGGCCCTGAGATGCCATTTTTGGCCTCTCTCTGATCAGCAGTTCTAACAGTTCTCAAGGTAAGGGGAGCTCCATTTTTAATCTTGGAAAACTTGTTTTCCTTGCAAGTCAACTTCTTTTTTACACCCTTCTCATTATTTTCAGGACAATGGCTGTGTTCAGAATGATTAAGGTTTCCAGAAGTCAGACCTTCAGACAAGTGGAGATTCCCAGAATTCTGGATTCCAAAAATGATGTTATGGCAATGTTCTAAAGTAAGAGAGTTACTAAAATAGTAAATATAATTTATAAATACACCTTGTTGGTTATTAGGCCAATTATTTTTCATTATTATTAATTGCTTATAATTACTATCAATTACTTAAATTAGTTCATTTGATCTTCACACAGTCCTTTGAGATACATATTCTTTCATCTCCATATAATAGATGAAGTAGCTGAAGCTCAAGAGGATCAAAACATGTTTTAAGTCATGGAGCTGGTAAGTAATGATGCTTTGATTTAAGCCCAGGTCAGCTGGACCCCAACTACCCTCATCTTAACCACTTGCATAGAAGCCTAAATTTCAAATATGACTTATTTTCAAAATATATTATAAATAAAATATGTAAAATCATATAAAATACATATTTTATATTTTTATGAAATTTTAATGTTTTTGAAAAAATTAAAGATTAATTACAGGCAAAAAAAGCACTTACCTTTTTTTTAAAAAAGTTTTATTTATTTATTTGAGATAGAGAGCTAGCGAAAGAGAGCACAAACAGGGGGGAGGGGCAGAGGGAGAAGGGAGAAGCAGGCTCCCTGCTGAGCAGGGAGCTGGACTCAGGGCTCTTCAGGCTCCACCCCAGGACCCTGGGATCTTGACCGGAGGAGAAGGCAGACACTTAACCGACTCAGCCACCCAGGTGCCCCACTTAGCTTAGCTTTTTATCAGCTACTCAGTGGTGAGTTAAAGATCAGTTAGAAACCATTGGTTTAAGTGGACATATCAGAACTCTAGTCCAGGGAATGCATAATAGTTTCAGTTCCCCTACTTTGACCCGTGGAGTCAGTCTGGTTTGGAGTGCTGGGTTGAGAGAGACTCTGGGCCGTTGCTGGGTTAGCAGAAGAAAAACACACTTTAGAACTATCTGCTGTGATCTCATTCGGATAATGATTTGAACAGTCTATTTTAAAAAATCATGAGACATCAGGGAAATTTGAACACTGAATATTTGATGATATTAAGGAATTGTTAATGTTTTAGATATGGTAATAGTGTTGTGGTGATGTGTTTGTGCTTGTTTCTTTCAGAAACACATTCTAAAATATTTACAGATGAAATGCTATGATGTTGTAGATTTGCTTCAAAGTGATTAGGGTGTGGGGGAGGGTTGGGAAATGATGCTAGAAAAGGAAACAGGTGGAGGTATAGAGAAAACCAGATTGGCCCTGAGTTGATAACTGTTGAGGAATCATTAACATAGTCTTTCTTGCATATGCTTCAATTTTTCCATAATACAAAATTTGTTTTTGGAAAGGTTAAATCAAAAATGTTTTTGAAGGAAGGTAAAAGACATATCTACCATGGACATGATGAGTGAGGTAAAGTTGGAAAGCTGGTGGAGAGGGCGAGGAGGTGCACTCCTGTGGACTAAGAGCTAGCTCTATGCTAGTCTCATAGAATTCTATAAATGAGAAAACAAGCTCAAAGCAGGAAGTGACTTGCTCAAAATACACTGCTAGAGAATAGAAGGGTTCAGCTTAGTGTCCAGGGACCTTCCCCCAGCAGCCTCTCCACCACACCCAGCCACACTCCGTTGGTACCATATTTCAGAGTCAGAGAATAAAAAATATTGAAGTACTCTTTATGTTCTTCTGGATCCAAAGTATCCAAAAGAATTGTGTGAACAATTCAATGTCAACTAACCAGAAAGGGCTTTTTAAAAAATAGTTTAATTGTATTTTAATTGAGGTTTCGTAAACTGTAGTTTAATTTTGAGCTGACTATAGATTAGCATACAGTTGTAAGAAATGATAGAGAGATCCTGTGTACCTTTTACTCAGTTTCCCTCAATGGTAACACCTCGCATAACAGTAATAGAATACCACAACCAGGAAATGGGCATTGATACAATCCACCAGTCTTATTTGGATGTCCCTGGTCTTCCGTGCACTAATGTGTGTGTGTATGTGTGTGTTTCTTTCCATGCCTTCTATCACATGTGTAGACTACTGTAATCACCACCATAGCCAAGACATATAAGTGTTCCATCACCACTGAGATCCTTACAAAGGGGTGTTTTAATAGATTACTACCACTGAGCATAAAATGTATAACTAAAAAAAAAAAAATTACTGCCAACCCATAAATCCTTTATTTTCTACCTGGATAGGGACTTGAGCAAGGAAGAGAATCAGGCTAACTAAAAATGGAATCTGAATAAAAGAAACTCAAGTAAATTAGTGCAGGTACATAAATGGCAAAGGAGCCCATTTTTAAAAGTCAAGAATATTTTTAAGAGACTATTTTATAAAGCTGTATATAATAATAAAACCCAACTTTCACACATTCAGATAACCAGATTTTTTTCTTCTCTTTTAGTAAATGACTTAACTTCTCTCAGATGGAGTTTTTCATCTGTAAAATGTGGATAATTATACCTATTTATGGAGCAACTTGTGAAGATGGAATAAAATAATATATAAAAAAGCACTCAAGAAATGGTAAAGTACTACTGCTACTAAAAGTCTTGTGATGATTTCCATGAAGAGAACACAAATGATAATTAGGCTGACATCAAGAATTTATTTTGGAAGAGAATCTTCCAGGATATACCATGCAGCCAGTCCTAGTTTATCCAATCTACTACACATCCTGTTCCTATAGGCCCATAAAACTGTCACGGTGCTCTTTATGCTAATTCAGAGAAGCTGAACAATTCTGAAACATCTTGTGTCTCATCCAGGGAAGAGCCCACTGGGGGTTTTCAAATTTGGGGAGATAGACAAGATCTTAATCCAATTGGTAAATGACTGTGTTGACACCCAGAAATATAAAGTGACTTTTGAACGTGTTATTGATATTTTACTCTAGTCTAACGTTGTGACGTAATCTCTCAGACATATAGTGATTGCAAGTTTGCACTTTGGTATTTGATTCACTGGGACATGAGATGCCTTAAGAAATTGGTGCCCCCAGAGAGGGGGCAATGTGGGGAAGTTTGGAAGGATTGAGATCATGAACCAAAAGCCATGGATACTGGAACAGGCCCTGCAACTAAAGGCAAATCACTTCACTTCTTTCAGGCCCCTGAATAGCTCAAGGGGTTAACCCATCAAACTCCTTTGATGCCTCCATTTCTCCATTTCTTTTGAGTATTTAAGCTCTCTTTGGCTGATGTGACATATCTTCAGCTCTCAGGAAAGTGGAAACATCAAATCAAACATGCTTCTTGTGCAAGAAGGAAGGTCCACTTTTAGGACAATTCATTAGTCATCAGAATTATTTTTATTCCTACCGTGTAAAGATATTTCAGTTTTTAAAACAAGTATTATGAAGCCCTCTCTTCTCAAATACCTCCAAACAGAAACCACCCTGGAAGGATCAGATCTTAAAGAAAATTTTGGAAGTGGTGGCCTTGCCTGATAGGCTCTATTTAAACACTACTTGTAGTATTAAATGCCAAATCCTCAGCTCTATGCACTGCTTCATTAGTTATTAATGAGGCAACATATTTGTTCAAAATTTATGACTGTTGATTTGCTCCCATCACTGTATGAAATATTAACATAGCATTTGTACTTGCAACCATTTGCAGACATTAGATTGTATATTTGCATATTCATGAACACTCATAAATGTTTAAGGAGACAGCACAGAAAGCATGGGAGCTGTCAGACAGCCAGTAAAAAGGCATATTTACAGCGTTAATAAGTATTTGAGTTTATAGGCCAAAACGATGAGTAACAAATTAAGTGAATTTCTGGTTTGCCTATTGCAGAGAACTAGGGGTTTTATCATTTTTTTTAAAGCTTTGTAAACTTAAAATTCATTTCATAGATGCTGAATAAATGCTTATTGTTTAGTCACAAAAGCTACGGCCTCAGTGTAAAGAAATTCCTAAGAGTGTCAGGCTTTTAGAGATTACATTTGCAGTCTTGGTGATACATAGCCTTTCTGCCTTGGGCTTGCCTCTTATCAAAGTAATGTGAAAAGCAAAATGTGTCATATACTGAGGCAGAGTTATTTTTGATTTTAGTTCCATCGAGGAATTTGGACAAATAATATGCCCTGGTGTTGCATCATCAGCCAGTGTACTTGACCTAGTCTGTCAACCTATTAAAACTTGATCCTGGAGATTAAAACATTAAAGGATGGAGCATTAATGGACAATAAGAGGGATAGGCATCCAGCTGACAAACACCTGACTTACAAATAATCCATTTATACAAATTGCCACTAACGTCCCACCAACCTATTCTAATACAAGGAATATCACCCTTTGCATGGTGAAAAACCTAAGAACTTTTGGAAATTTTATGAGTTGATAATGGGAAAAATGTTAAATTGGATCCCTACCTCACACCATACACAAAAGTCAATTCCAAGTATATTGATGAAATATATCTAGATGAAAGGAATAACTATAAAGTTTATATTATACAAAACCAATATAGGAAAATATCCATGTGACCTCAGGGCAGGGAAAAAGCAATCACCTCATCTTATGAACACTGCCGCTACCTGGGTCATATCATTGTTAAATATCTCAAATATCACCTCTAGGTAAATGGATGTGTGAGTTCACCTTATCCTTGTACCATCAGGAAAAAGGATTATGGATTAGCATGTGGGTCATAGTTGGCCTCTGTTGTGATGGCTTAATTGTTCTATTGGTCACTGCTAGCCCCACTGGCATTTCCTACTGAAATCTGGTAGATTTATGATCTGTTCCTTCTTGGCTCACCAAGGACCTGGTGGCCTTCTCAGGTGACCCTGTCCCAGTTCAACTTTTGCTCATCCTATTTGTCTCTGACATCTGAAAATAATTTTCATTTGATATTTAGACTAGGTAGCCTCCTCAGCAGGTTGTGGCAACAGAGCCACTTCACCAATCTCACCTGCAAGAAGCACCATCACCTTCCATCTGTGTCTCTCCATAGAGCCAACTGGAACTTGTAGATATTTTTGAAGGCATAGGAAACTAAGCAGAGTAGGGGACCTGATTATAGGGCACTAATTTCAACCTGCCCCCCTCCTAATCAGGCCATAGCAGCAATTTTACTGATTCATAGATGGTATGGAGAAGGTACGGGATGACTCTATGAAATGGTCTTCTCTTGGAATATCTAATAAGAAACAAGGATAAACTTCCTGCACTCAGAATTTTTGTGATTTATACTGAGGGGGGAGGGGGACCTGGGGGTAGGCCTGGCATATTTGTGTTTGAAATATTCTCTACATCTTTTTGTCTCCCTTCCCTTCCCCACTGTCATTTTGGACCAAGAGGGGTAGGCTTTTCTTTCCTTTTTCTGTGCCACAATAGCCTCCCCTACATCATATCCTCTCTTTCCAGAAACACATTTATTCTGCTCCTTTCCTTGGGGCCATGATGGCAGGAAAAGTACAATGAAAAAGACATTGACTTTCTGAGAAGGGAATAAATTCTAGACTCCCAGGCACACAGCCTTTGATGATTCAGTTGACAACACACACACACACACACATGCACACACACATACACCATTCACACACATATTTTAATTTCTACTAATCGGAAGAAATTCATTTATTAATTCAACATGTATTTGTTGTGACTCCCATGTAGGTACAGTGGTGTAGAAAGCAGAAAAATCTCCTTTTTAAGTGAAGTTATATTTTCTATTTCAAGAAAAGAAGTAATAAACAAATTAAATAAGTACTTAATATATCAGGTTATCATAAAATGCTAAGGAAAAATAAAGCAGGGTAAGAGCACAGAGATTGATAGACTGATGGAAAGAATGCTTTATTGGATATGGTGACCAAGGAAGTCCTCTCTTAAAAGATGATTTTTCTAGCAAGGGCCAGAATAAAGAGAGGGAATAAGCACAGTGGACATCTGGTGAAAGATCATTTGAGGCAGAGGAAATAATAAGTTAAGGGCCCTGAGGCAAGAGCATGCTGGGCATGTTTAAGGATTATTAAGGAGGCCACTGTAGCAAGAGGGAAAGAATGAGAGGGAGATGAGGTCAGGGAGATGGTGGCAGGACAAATCATAAGCTTAGATCACAATTTGGGCTTTATTCTGCATGATTTGAGAAGGCTTTGGAGGATTTCTAGCAGAAGAATGGTATGATCTAATTTAGATTTTCAAAGAATCCCTCTGGCTGATGTGATGGGAACAGACCATTGGGGGTCAGCGTGAAGGCTGAGCGGAGCCAGGAGGCTAATGGAATAATCCAGGTGAGACTGACTCAGACCTAGCACCTAGTTGCAGAGGTGGGGAGAAATTATGGCATTCTGAAGATGTTTCCAGGATAGAGCCAGTGGAATTTGGATGTGGAGTGTAAAAAGAGAGAGAGAGTCAAAATACTTCCAAGGTCTGTGACCTGAACAACTTGCGTAATGTTGAGACAAGGAAGACAGTGGGTGGAGCAGTTTGGAGATGAGGATCAGAGTTCAGTTTTGGACAGGTTTGAGATGCATATCTCAACCAAGGAGAGATGTTAAATAGGTGTCTGGATGTAAGACTCTGGAGTTCAGAGAGTAAGTCAAGAACAGAGCTGCAAATATGAGAGTCATTGGCATAGAGATGACGTATTACATTTAAAGCCATTGTACTGGATGAGATCACCTAGGGTGGGATTCTAGACTGAAGAGAAAATAGGGGTGGGCATTAATCCTTGGAGCCCTCTAATATTTAGAGGTCATGGATCTGAGAAGAATCCAGGAAAAGGAGACAAAGTGGTCATTGAGAAAAGAAGAGGACGAGCAGAATCGTGACATGAAGGAAGTGTTTCCAGGAGGAGAGAGTGTATGGAATGCAGCTGATCAGGGGAGTGGGAGGAGGCAGAATTGGCCATTGGCTTGGGATGTGGGAACCATTGGTGCCTGGTGAGGTAAGTGTCTGTGGGGCCTTAACATGATTCAACAGAGAAAGGGGAGGAAGAAAAAGCTTTAAGAGCAAGTGAATTTTGATAGAGATATTTTTAAGCCTTTACTCTATGGCCTAGTAAAATGGGTCCCTTTGAAGGGCAGAACAACATGGAGAAACCACTTTCTTTTCCTCCCTGAAAGGGCCTGCCCTGAGCGGTCTGGTGCAGAGAATACGAGTCCCTCAAGCTCCTCCAGCAGCAAGAAAGGAACTCAGCCTGCCCTGCCGAACCCTACTAATATGCTCAACAAGTGGAACTCATCTTTGTTAAATCAGTGCCTCTGTTATATCCTGTTCCCAGCTCCATCCTCCAGCCCCTCTGCTGATGTTCCAGAAGCATAGTCCAAGTTAAAATGGGCAGCCTGCCTGTGGGAGCGATGAGCAGGGGGAGACTGTAGCCTATTCGTGCAGTTTGGTAGATTGAGAAGACTGAGGGGCTGAGTGAGTGGCATAACTAATAAAGCTATTTATCTAACCCCACTTTCCCAGGAGCTCCACGGACCTTAAGGACATGAGCTCATTCCTTCTCCTTGCCGAGGTAGGGAGTCAGGCTCCTTGGGCTGTGTGTTACACATGAATAAAATATTG